CGGGGAAGGGTTACCAGCAGGTCCCGCAGCGCCGGGGATGAAAAGGACGTCCCAGGAGCCAGCTGTGGGGTGCATCTCTTGTTTCTGGATCCTTCCAGGGGCTCGGGGCGTGCTGCTTGGGCGAGATGAGTCTTTAAATGACTCCTGCTTGTTAGCTGGAGATACTAAAACTAATGAGGTGTGAGCGTGTTTTTCCTTAGCGGTTTTTTTTGGAAACCCTGCTTTGTTTTTCGGCTGAGGTCACGAAGTCACCAAGCAAACCGGCTGCAGATGAAATTCTTGAGGCCAGAGAACATGCATAAATAGAAGTTTCCTGCTCCGAGAGCTCTAACATTTCCTCCCGGCGTTTGGCTGCGCAGAGCCGGGGCCAAAGCAAACTGTCGTGCCTGGCTGGCTCCTCGCTGCCGCTTGGGCCGCGAACCTGCCCCTGCCACTGGCCACAGCCACTCTGTCCCCCCAGCTGTGCTGGTGTTGTGAGAGATGGGTTTTGCTCGTGGCCGTGGTGGGGACGACAATGGTGCCGCTGGAGTGTTTGGTGCCACCGGGATGCTCAGCGGGTGGGATTTGGAGATGGCAATATTTTGGGGGTGTTACGGTGCAGGGGTGGGATGCTCTGGCAGCACTGTCACACCCAGCTCTAGCGGGACCCCTGTGCTGGCTGGGGGCTGGGTCAGGGCAGTAACTTGCTTTTTCCTCTCTGGTTCTTTAGGATGCCACGAAATCCCCCAGAAGCGGGCAGTCATGCCGCAAAACATCCAGGTAGATGCCTCAGTTTCCCCATCTGGTGACTGTCTCTGCCCTGCCTGAACCTTTCCCCTGGCCCCAAAACTTTGCTTCTCCAGATGTGCTGCAGCTGTGAGATGCTCCCTGTGGAGAAGACACAGGGGTTATGACCCACTGTCCCTAACTTGGGGTTCCCAAGACACCCCAACAAGGCTGGGAGCAGGGGAAAGGCTGTGGGCAGCCCTGCTGCTGTATCCCCGCGTGTCCCAGCCCGTCTCGCTTAACCCCCGGGGCTGTGCAGGGTGGGGAAGGGTCACAGTGTCCCCTCCCCACGCTGTGTCCTGACGGCTGTCCCCTCCCTCACTCAGGTGCATGAGCCTGACCACGGCTATGGAGAGCAGCTGTGAGCTGGACCTGGTGTACATCACGGAGCGGATCATCGCCGTCTCCTACCCCAGCACAGCCGAGGAGCAGAGCTTCTGCAGCAACCTCCGCGAGGTGGCCCACATGCTGAAGTCCAAGCACGGGGACAACTATGTGGTGAGGGACACGGCCCGGTCCCTGCTGGGCTGGGGAAGGGGCTGGGGTGCTCAGGCCCTGGGGAAGTGGTGCTGCAGGGGCTGGGGTGATACATCCTCACCTCCAGCTGGGCTCAGCTCTCGTGAGAGGGATCTTTGCACCAACATGGAAGGACTTTTTCCTGCCTTGAAGCTTTCCAGTCTTGTTTGGACCCCGTGGGAGTTTTTAGCCATTGCATTGCTCCATGGCAAGGAACTACTGGGGTTAATGTGTTCAGGGAAGCCTCTCATGGGGGGATTTGGGGAGGCTGAGGTGGGTGGTGGCAGTGAGGGAGGACGGTGTTCCCTCACTGTGTCTTTCCTCTTCCCTGAAGCTTTTCAACCTCTCTGAGCGGAGACATGATATCAGCAAACTTCACCCCAAGGTGGGTCACAGCTGTGGGGAGCAGAGGGGCTCAGGACAGGGCTGTCTGGTGGTCCAGCTCCCTGTTGTGTTTGGGGCAGGAACAGCCACCCTTCCTATCCCACCCATCTGGTGGAGGAGCAGAGGGGGGAGAGCCCAGAGGAGAGCACTGGGACTTCCCAATGAGTTTGTGGGGGCTCAGCTTACTCCTGCCCCCCCAGCCTCAGCCCAAACCTGGCTGTTGGCGCCTCTTGAAGACCTCCCTAAGGCATTGTCCCCATCCCTGTGGCTGTGCCGGGGCGGCTGCCCCTAGTGACCTGGGGGGGCTGAGACCTGGGACCCCAATGGCCACCCTATTGCCAGGGCAACACGGTGGTGCCCACCCTGGGGACATGCCCTGGGCTTTGCACGTTGGCTTGCGTGGAGGGGGCAGAGCCCGACGAGGATGTGACCCTTGGCTGTTCTCCCTGCCCAGGTGCTGGATTTTGGGTGGCCTGACCTGCACACCCCGGCACTGGAGAAGATCTGCAGCATTTGCAAAGCCATGGACACGTGGCTCAACGCGGCGGGGCACAACGTGGTGGTGCTGCACAACAAGGTGGGCCAGACCCCTTCCCCAGGGCGCACAGCGATGGGGGCTGGGGGGCTGCAGGGATGGGGCCGAGACCCTCAGAGGTGGAGGGATGCAGGGGACGTGGTGGTTTGTGTCTTGGGCTGTGGGTAGGTGTCAGCGTGTGTGTGTAGACTGGTTTGTGTCTGTAAGGGTTGGGGCGTGTGTGTAGGGACTGGTGTGTGCCTGCCAATGCGCGGGGCACCCCCCCCCCCATGACACCCCTTCTGCTGTGTGCCCACAGGGGAACCGTGGCCGGCTGGGGGTGGTGGTGGCTGCCTACATGCACTACAGCAACATCTCGGCCAGGTAAGAGTGACATGCGGTCCCGGGGTGGCCCTGGGTCCCACCACCGACCTCCATCCTGGTGGTGCCAGGGTGCTGGCGCCCGTACTTCCCTTCAGCTTCATCTACCCTTTCGTACCCACAGCGCCGATCAGGCTCTGGACAGGTTTGCCATGAAGCGCTTCTACGAGGACAAGGTGGTGCCGGTGGGACAGCCGTCCCAGAAGAGGTGGGTGCCGGCATGTGTTTTACCCCCGTGGTCAGGGTGACTGGGTGCAGGGGGGTCAAGGAGGAGCTCCGCTGTGGGTCCTGCCCCTGACCTGCCTGTCACCCCTCCAGGTACATCCATTACTTCAGTGGGCTTCTGTCTGGCAGCATCAAAATGAACAACAAGCCCCTCTTCCTCCACCACGTCATCATGCACGGCATCCCCAACTTCGAGTCGAAAGGCGGTAGGTGCCCCCACGCACCGCTCCACGCTGCCTGGCCGAGCTTGCTCTCCACAATTTCCTCGGCAGTTTGAATTTCCCTTTTGCTCTCGGGGACTGTTTACTCCTATTAGCAGGATGCTGCCCTTCTCCCGCAGAGATGCCCTCGTGGGGTGCACCCCCCACCACATGCTGGGCACTAACCTGAGCTGCGAGGTGACCGGGCTTTTCCGATGGCTTCTGGGAGCATGGCATCAGATTGGGCTTGGGGTTTGGGGTGCAGTACCAGCATGGTGCCAGTACCCAGAAGTGGTCCCTTCCTCGGAGACCATCATCCCACCTCCATTCCCAGCCCAGCGCTTGCCCCAGCTCCTGCAGGACCCAAACTGGGCTATAGGGACTTGTCCCCCTTTTTCACCCCATCCGGAGCATCCCTTTCTGCCCATCCCAGATGTTGCCCATGGCCGGTGCGGGCCAGCCGGGGCGGGGAGCGGCTGTTTGCCTTGGCTCCCTCCCTGTTTGGATTTCTCCCCCGTGACTAATCCCTGCCCCGGCCCCTCCGCCCTGACGGCTAACAGCAGCCTGCCTTCTCTCCCCGCCTTGATGTCTTCCAGGTTGTCGGCCCTTCCTGAAAATCTACCAGGCCATGCAGCCCGTCTACACCTCGGGGATCTAGTAACTATCATCTCCTCACCATGGGGCTGGGGGCTTCCCTCCTGCCCAGAGCGGGGGGCTTGGCAAGCTGGGGAAGATGGAGAGGGTCAAGGCCAAGTCTCCAGCAGACCCGGTGCCCTGCGCTTAGTCTGTTTGTGGTCCAGGGGATGAAAAAAGGGGCTTTCTTTTGCTTGGAGGTGGTAACTGGCTATACTGGGCCATACTGGGCCCTTCTGCTGGGAGGGCTGTAGTGACTGTGCGTATCAGCAGAGGGAGCCCGGGGCTGCGCAGAGCCTGGGGCTGGGTGTCCCCAGGGGGAGTGGGGACAGCCATGGGGACACCTCCCCGGGGGAGGGAGGCGTTTCTCCGCTCCTTGCCCAAAGAGATGCTCCTCCTGCCCGCAGCCGGGCGTCCCCGTTAGCCGAGATTTACTGCCATCCCAGCCTCGCCTTGCAGCTTTTAATAGACAGTTTATGGGATGCCGGTAATAAACTCCAGGTTTATCTTGCCTGTGAAATCCAACTCCCTTCTTCCCTCATCCCCTGCTGCCGACGCCACTGCCTGGAGGCAGACCCCCGGTGCCCTGGGGACGGGAGGGCTTCCGGCAGGGAAAAGGAGGCAGGGAGGAGAGCCTTCCCTGAGAGCTCTTCCTTCATGTGCTGTACTCCACTTGACCCACGAGAGCAGGGTGGACAGCCTGGTAGCCCAGCTCCAACACTCAGACGCCAGTCAAGCCCTCCCACACAGGATTTCTAGCATCCTCAGTTTCCCCCTCCTGTCTGGCTGCCCCTGGGAATGGGTGCCCTTTAGGGTGGGGGATGGGACCCTCCCCTGTCACCTGGAGGGCCAGCTCCATGCTTTGCACCTTTCCTGGCTAGGTTTGGGTGGAAGGGGCTGGTGAAGGTGGCGCTGGGAGCTCTGGGGGGGCTCTGCACTACAGCTCACAGCCTCCTGCTGTCCCTCTCTGCAGCAATGTGCAAGGAGACAGCCAGACGGGTATTTGCATCACCATTGAGCCTGGTTTGCTCCTCAAGGGCGATATCTTGGTAAGGAGCGTTGGCTCAAGCCCCCACGCGGGGAGCAGCTGGGGCATGGGTGGTCCTTGTGCCTCAGGACCCCCTGTCTCTCCCTTGCCCAGCCCCGCGGGACGCTCCTGGGCTTGTCCTGACGGTCGGCTCCTGCTCCTTTCCGCAGCTGAAGTGTTACCACAAGAAGTTTCGCAGCCCGACCCGCGACGTGATTTTCCGTGTGCAGTTCCACACGTGCGCTGTGCACGACCTCGACATCGTCTTTGGCAAGGAGGACCTGGATGAGGCCTTCAGAGGTAACCACACTGGCACCTTCCCACCCAAACTCCCTTCTCCTCCCACCCCTCTGGGCACCCCTGCTCCATCCATGGGGTTGGTTGTTTGGGAGCTGAGACGTGCTGCCCTGTGCCGGGATATTCCCCGCCAGCTCCCATCCGTGCACTGGCCGGGGCGGGTGCCCTGTGCTCTGGGCATGTTTGGGGTGGCCACCCGTGTGCTGTTGGAGGGATGGATGGAGATGGTCCCTTTGCTCTGCTCTCTCCCTGCCAGATGACCGCTTCCCTGAGTATGGAAAGGTGGAGTTCGTGTTCTCCTATGGCCCTGAGAAGATCCAAGGTATGGCTGGCTCACCAACACCGTGGTCTGGAGCTGGATGCTGGCTCCTTTTCTGCTCCCCAGCTCTATCCTGTACTGCCACACCTGTGACCTCCCCCTGCTCCGTTTGCAGACCCTTTGTCACCAGGGTGGGATGAGGGGTCCAGGCAGTGATGCTGATCTAGGAGCACCCGTGGATGTCCTATCGCCCTCACTCTCTTCTCCAGGAAGCTGCTCTCTGCAGCACTTGCTGGCCCGGGAGAGAGGGAGGGGGTGCTTGGGAACGGAGGACTCCCCACCCAAAAAGTCGAGACCTAGGCACGCTTGCTGTCCGTCCATCTGCCTGTCTCTAGGCAATCCCAAAAGCTCCAGCCAGCCTTGGTACACCTTATTTGTGGGTCTTGAGGTATCTCCCATGCTCATCCATCACTCTCATTCTTACGTGATTCTGCCGTGTCCTACAGCTCCTGCACTCTTCCCTTTGCCTGCACCTTCTCTCCATCTCCTCCCTCCATCCCACCTGTGCTGGTTCCAGCGTCACCCTGACTGACTATCCCACCTCTTCCCAGGCATGGAGCACCTGGAGAACGGGCCCAGTGTCTCTGTGGACTACAACACATCCGACCCACTCATCCGGTGGGATTCCTACGAGAACTTCAACATCCAGCGTGAGGATGGTGCAGAGGGCGCTTGGGCTGAGCCGCCCCTGCCTGGCAAGCACCTGGAGAAAGGTTAGGGCTCAAGGGGCGGTCGGTGGCCAAAGCGTCCCCGCGGGAATTCCCGTCACCCTGGGGAAGGGGGCACCGGCTGGCAGCAGAGCTGGGGGCAGGTGGTCGCTGCTTGAGGAGTGTGGCCACAGGATGGAGAGGAAGACCTCACGGACTTTCCCTCCTGCCAGCGGTGCCAAGGAGCTCAGGCTTTTTTTATGGCGCTTTTGTTCTCGAAGCCCTGTTTGCACGGAGCAGGGTCCAGCCCTGGTTCACGCCCCAGAGCTTTGGGAAACCCAGCCCCGAAGAATTTCGGGAGCAGGGTCTAATGGGGGACCAGTAAGTCTCCCAGCTCCTTGCTTGCGGTGCAAGCGTGGCAGGATGTAGCCACGCCTCAGTTTCCCCTGGGGTATGAGGACTCCCCACTGGCCCTGGAGGGTCTGCACCATGGCTTGGAGCTCAGAAAAGCCCCTTGAGCACCCGCCTGGATGCTGCGAGTTGGTGGCCTGCGCCTGCTTGGCCGGAACAGGCGGTACTTATGTGTTGAAGTGTGGTGGGCCCCCATCCCAGCGACGAAGCCACCTGTGACCGAGCAGATGCCTGAGCTTTCCTGGCCTGGTCTGGACAGGCGTCGCTGGAGCGGGGACAGCTGTGGTCCCCGACGTCCCTGAAGGTCACTGGCTGCTCTGAGTGGGAGCTGTGGGTGGCCGGGCTCGCTGGGGAGGGTGGAGACTCTGGGTGCTCAGGATGGGCGAAGGCGTCCCTGCCGACGGGGGGGACGTGGGGCTGGCCCGGGAGCCTGGCACGGTCCCCTGCCTTGGCACAGGGCAGTAAACAGGCAACTCGTGACATGCAGGCTCAGCTATGCGGCGGGGAGCTGGGGACTGTGGGTCGGGCCCCGAGGGGAGGGGACGCTTGTCCCCACCGTGAAGCTCAGACCGTGGCTCTGCTCCTGCCCCAAGCTGGCAGGGCTGGCTGGCAGCCCCCTCCTGCCTGCAGAGACCCCAGTGCCTTGGTGCATGTATGTTCCCCTCTGGCCCCCCAGGGCAGAGCCACAGCCCTCCCAGCCCCTCACAGGGCTGCAGAGGTACCCCAGGGCTCCTCTCTGTCCCTTCCCGGGGGTCTCGGCGGGTGTCAGGGCTGTGGAGGTCCCTCCGTGCGTTGGGCAGGGACCGTGGCAATGGGGAACGTGGGCACCTTTGCAATTGGTTTGGGGATGAGCCGGGGCTGCGGGAGGGTGAAGCTGGAGGCAGGAGGCTGCCCTCTGACCCGTGCCAGCGCAGGCGGCGGCGAGGCAGCCCGTCTATGGGGATTGTCCCCCTGGCCACCCTCGAGCAGTGGTTGGGAGAGCCAGCGTGGGCTCAGGGGTCTCCCTTCTTCCTTCCTCTCTGTCGGCACTTTCCC